AAAAGATAAAAAGAAAACGAAGAATATAATTTATACCATGAAGAGAAAAGAAAAAGAGAACCATAAATTCCTGTATCGGTTATTTCCTATAGGCTATGAATCAGGATTTTTCGGACAGCCATATTCCATATACGATCCTCACATATTCTCTACCACTTGGAAACGATGGTTCTACTGTCCCCATAACCCCTGATACATATTCGTAAGATGTTCGCCTTATCCTGGCTAGTTCGATCCTTTTACAGCATCCATTCGTTTTCGTTGTCTGGCTAGCATCACCGTATCTTCGAAAATGAACCAACACCTATCTTCTTTACCGAGAGGTATTGTTTCTTTACAAAAAATTTATATCTATAGTATATCTAAAAGAAAAACTCCTCAGTCATTTATATTGTTTATATCCGAATTACTTTTATGAACAAATAGAATATAACGAATAATTATATACGATTTCAATAAAGCATCTATTTATTCTTAATGACTATATGTCAAGAGAAATACTTTGAAATCATTAATAATTATCCATCTATTTATACTGTTTCGTCAAACAAACCTATATATATATAGTAAAAGAAAACTATTAAAAGTATTTCGTTATCGTTTCCTACAAAAATATCAAACTCATTTTGTTAAATTCGCGAAAGATTCACAAACGTTCGAGTAACAAGCAAAAGGCGGAGGAAGATTCTTCTTACTGTGGTACTTTTTGAAAGACAAGGATGCAGATAGACGAAAGAAAGCAGAAACAAGGATCGCCGCTTAATTCAAGAGATTCCAGGACCCTTCCGACCCTTACGACGAAACTAAAAGAGAAAGAAGGAAAAAGGTGGGGGGCAAGAAGGGGAATGAGAGAAAGAAAGAGAAATAGAGAGAGAAAGAGAGAGAGGGTTCCTCGTAATCGCTCGTCGTTATGGGGTCTGCACAATGCGTGCCAGGACGCGATTCCACGATACCACCCCCATTGTCTATTGGGTTCAGTGTTCACCTCCTACCCTCTTGGCCTTCTCTCTAGTGGAAAACGTCCGTGACGACTGACTGCGGTTTAACCTCGGTGGTTCAGCACGCTCAAACGATCCCGTTGTCGGATCCTCGGCATCTCACTCACTCACTCATTCTCTTTAACCCCGTCGATACCGAAGAGAGAACAAATTATTTAAGTACTTTATACTTTAATCACACAAATCGGTCAGATTTTCGTGTGGCTTTTTATACGTAATAATATATAACAATATGTAAATATAAACTAATTTAATGATCATTTTCAATATAAGGTTATAAAAATTTCTAAATAACAGAAAATGATTATTAATTCATAAATATTATTCGTTATATTATATTATTGATATGATTATTATTTAATATAAAATATTGAAAAATAAAAGAAAAATGTTAACATTATGAATTATATTGTAATATAGGTAAAATGAATTAAAAGTGATAAAATTAAGGAAAATATATATATATATATAAATTTTGTCTTAATTAGTGTTTCCACGATAATCGCGTGAAAGAATGTAATTATCCTTTACGTATTCACAAAACGACGAATGTGAGGATTATAATAATATACTTTTCGAAGAGATGTCACAATTATAAGGTAAGAGTCGTGAATTCTCAAGACGTTTCGTAATTCTGCAAGATAATGTTCATATATAAATTGTAAACCTTGGCGAATATCTTATAGTTCTCACACCGACAAAGTAATATACGAGTTAGTCGACTAGCTCGAGACGACGACGACGACGACGACGACGACGACTTTGGTCATCTAATTTCATCAGCAAGTAACACGGTGCAAGGAGTTGGTCGGTTGGTTGGTTGGTTGGTTGGTTGGTTGGTTGGTTGCTTGCTTACTTTGCTTACTAGCTTACTTGCTTCCTTACTTGCTTCCTTACTTGCTTGCTTACTTGCTTATATCACGAACATGGTATATATGTATAAGTGCGAAAGCGTGAAATGCAAATCCGTTCGTGACCGAGTATCGTTCGTGCCAACGGGAATATAAAGGAAGAGAAGAAACGGTAAATAGGGGAGAAGAAGAAAATTGAGAGAAAGCGAAAAACTCGATCACGAGCGAACGTGTTTTTCTGCTTCTCTTAATAATGATTAATGAGGATCAGTAGTAACGATAAATTGAAATTTATTCGTTCAACGAGTTCTTTTCTCGTGAAACTAGTATAATTTTTCTTATTCAATTTAATGTCATAAATAATAGATAAAAAAAAAACCAAAAAAAAAAAAGGACAAAAAATAACTCTATAACGGAAATTAGATTTAACTAAATATCTTTTTTAAATATTGATCTTATAAAAGATATATTGGTATCACTTGTAAAAATAAAATGACATTAATATGAATGCAACATAAATATCAATTCGACCGATCGATGATTTTATACTTAACTTTGTTGATAATTTAGCATGGGTTTAATGTATTCATTAGAAAATAGAAATCCAAATAAAACAAAAACCAAAAATAAAGAAAATAAGGTGAGAAATAAATTGAATTATAAATAGGGTAACACCATAAATATGTGAGAAAGTAAATGATCTACGTATAAGAATCGCTATCGTATAACCGAGCACGTGAATTTTTGTTCCTTCTTCCATCTCCTTTTGAATTTCTCGACTACACGGTAGCCATTTGTCAAAAGGAACAGCATTACAGCTCTTACAATGGTACTACCTGATAGGATCTCATATCGAGTAAATTGAAAAAGAGAAATCGATTCGCGGTAAGAATAATAAATTACTCGCGTAAGCAGGATACCGAATTTATTCCACTCGATCGTATGAGACGACGAATCCTTCGAAAAATAAATCGTTTTTCTTTGGTAAAACATTATCTTTATCTCTACGTGAATTCATGTAATATAAGTTTCACTACAGATCTATATTCGTCAATGATAAAATAAGAGTAACCTGCTCTTGATATTTACAGTCATAAGAATAAAACAAAAACAAAAAATGTATCGTACGAAAGTAAACATTACTATAATGCAAATTATTATTATTATAAGCAAAACACCACCCACACATACGAGCGATATAAATTTGATTATTTAGAAATGATTTTATTTTTATAAAACGATTGAAATAAAATCCTGAAAATTGAACGTAAATGAACACATTCGATAATACATTATTTCGTTATCTTTGTGATCGTTGAAATTATTTGAAATTTCAGATTATTTCGTTCGTTACTATAAACATATATAATCCTCTTAGAAATTATCTAGATAAATTATTAGTAATACGAATAAGAGGATTAAGTCGTAGATCAAAAATACAGAAGTTCCCGATCGATTTCTCGTCGAATCTCTTCCCGAAAGAGGATTTTAATAGCAGTGAAATCCTATCCACGTCGACAAACGGGAAATGGCTGATTCATATTCAAACAATTTTCCACGTGGCGTTAAGAGGATGCCAGGTGCGGACCACTTATAATAATGCACGAAGTGAAATTATTCAAACACCACCCTCCGCATCAACGAAAAGAGAAAGAAAGAGACCAAAAAAAAAGAAAAAAGGGAACGAGAGATAGAGAGAGAGTTGATCCTTCTATCAGCGATGTCCCTTCAAGTTTTTAGCATCTTGAAGTAGTCTTCGAACGAACTCCTTTTCCGTCTTTCTTATTCTATCATCTCGATGCTTTTCTATCTTTCCAGTCGAGAAAGTACTTGCAAAATCCGTGAATTCTCACCGGCTGTGCACTTACCACCGTGCATTGAAACGAAGCTCAGATTAATTCAATTTACGTGCATTACGAAGCGTCAATTTATTAAATAATTATTGATAATAATCATTGTTTTTTTCCTTACCTCTCGCACACATATTATCTGTTGTTTTTTAAATATCGAAAAATAGTATTTACCGTAGATACGTTATTATCTGTATAATTATAGTAAATAGGGACTATATCACTCGTGCATCTCGGGTTTCTAAACGTTCTCTCTCATTGTTTTAACTCTCTCATTCTCTCCTTCCAAGTTCTCCATAATTTAGATCGTACATTTTAGAAAGTCTTTCAGAAACAGAGAGAGAGAGAGATAGAGAAAGAGATAGAGAAAGAGATAGTTTAGTCGCGAAACACACCAACGAAATTCGTCCTACATACCTTCAACCTTGTCGAAAACTTAGCAGAACAGCGGCTTCTAGAAATTGAAACTACGCTTAAAGATCAAGCACCGACAATCTCATTTAAGTTCTCCTGCGAGAATGGCGACGCTAATGCCAGTCGTTTCATCTGATCCTTACGTCCTTTGATTACTTCAACCTACCTTGGCTCTTCTACTTTACCTAATACCTACTCGGCGAGCTCCGTTTTAACGAAGGATCGATCCTCCAACAAGACTACTGCAACGTCAAATTTATTCTAAATTACATTCTTCCTAGGTTTAATCCTCTATAATGTCATGTTACTTTAAAGTTATACCACTATATGTGTAAAGTACGTCTACATTAACTTTTTATTTTTTTCATTTTTTTTTTTTTTTTCATTTCTACATTCATTTTATCTTTATATACTCGTTTATAATTTCATATTCAAAGGTTTTTCTCTGTTTTGGTAATTCTGATGGTTCTCTTCTAACAGTAAACTTATTAAGAACGTATGTTCAACTATTTATACCGCAACTGGTCAGATAATTGATTTTTTTTTTTTTTACAAAATATCTACATTTGTTAACTAGCTGAAATAATAAACAAAATAATTGTTAAGCAGTAATAAGTAGTAATAGAATAATATTCATTAAAAAAAAAAAAAAACCAATATCATTTTAAGTGCAAAATTTAGAAAAAATATTTTTGTAACCTCTGCTTCCAAAGTTCAATATTGGAGCCTTACCTAGCAACCGTAAAGTCGCGTATTCTCGTGATGGTTGTAACTATGTGGTAACCATGGTTGAAACCATAGTAGCGTGCGGGAAAGTAGGCGGAGTTGAACTTCCCAACTGATTGACCGTGTGGGAATGAAAATTAACTACAAAAAATGTATACGATTCATAGAATGTATGTGTTCGCCACTACCATTACATTCAAACTATCAAGCGTACTGAGACTAATTCTAGCACCTGCGCATACTAAATAACCACTCATGAAAAGTAGCCTGTCGATCATATGTTCAATTCTGTGCAATTCCTAACCATAACTGCGTGTATTATTTATATTATTTACAGTAATTTTTGATAACTAATATAGTTTGAAGCTAATTACAATATTTCTATGTAAATGAATAATTTCTCTCTATATTGAACTTTGAAAGCAGTCGTTACAAAAAATACATATTGTTCGATACATATGTGCGAAGTGAGGCATTCCAGGGCTTAAAAATTGAGATACGAGCCTAAGAAACGGCGAGTTTACAACGAGACCGAGTACGCAGATTACCCCCATGAGCTGTTAGGCGAGCCCCGTTGTAAACGCGCCGTTTCTTAGGCTCGTGTCTCAATTTTTAAGCCCTGGAATGCCTCGCTTCGAACATATGTATCGAAAATATCGATTGTTTTTTAAATTTCAAATGCGGGTCAAACTATTTGATCATTTGAGATAAATTTAATTAAATCTGTTATCGGTGTATAGTATAATTATATTAATATAAGAAAATACTTTAGCATTAAGCTATAGGATTGTTTTTTTAATCGTAAATATAACATTATTATTTTTAAAAAAAAAAAAACCTCATAATCTAAATTCTCACGTTAGTTTAGCCAATAAAATCCGATCGATTAATCAAAACTTTAGACAATTTCGTCGCATGCGAAACGAGTAACGACACTTGCCCCTCTAACTCCTCCGCTCTTCTTTTCCTCACTTTAACTGACTTTAAACTCGAAACTTTAAACGAACTACTTAATCGACTTAAAAGGAGGACGACGATAAAACGCGATAAACTCGTTGAAGTTAACTTGGAAAAAAGGAGTTTTCACCTGAATGATTAGGCGAACCTATTTTGGTATACATAGGAAAAAACGCATAAACAATATAAAGTAGGTATGTATATATATATATATATATAACGCAATAAATTGGAAAATAGATCGTAAGTCATTTTCTTTATTAACGAACTTAAAAAGAAAAAAAGAAAAACTCTATCAAGCTAATTTTGTCTTTTCTTATTTTTCTTTAGAAAACTTCGCTTTAATTATAATTTCCATTTTGATACTTTCCAAATTATTTAGCCAAAGATTATTCATAACAGATACAATTATCAAAACGAATAAAATAACAAATATTATTATATAACAAGTTAACTACTTTTTAATTACAAATTAAATGAATAAAAATGATAAACGTTTGTAGCATCAGTGATACAAATTATCAGATAGGACAGTAATGCATATACCATTGATTGTACATACAAACAAGAACTTATTAAAAATGTAATAAAAAAAAAAGAAAATTGACGTAAATAGTGCATCTCATTGTTGCAACAAAATACAATATCCTCTGTACTAGCATCGAGGAAACTCAATGCGAACGATGTCTCGGTCGGCCAGCCAAGAAATAATTAGCACGGTGAGCGTCCCTTTAAGGTTTCTGATCCAAGGGATCGCAAACGTAATCCCCCAAATATGAATATAATTTGCTGGCAAAGAGGGAGAGAACTGTTCTCATTCTCTTTCTCTCACTCACACTCAAGCTCAGGTTCGCGAACGCAAACACATACCAAAACATTTTCTATATATGTATATATCGGTTACTGTTAACGTATATCCTATCCTATGTATTAGTAAATTGAAATATACATAAACGAAGAAAGCTGGTAGAGAACAATGACACTATGGTGGATCAACCGCTGACATAATTGCATTTTGTACGTTGACGGCTGCCTTCAGGACAAAGATAGCAAATTATATATATATATATATACATTTCATCCTAGCATCGGTTTTTGTTTTTTAATAAAGTCCCTTTTTTTCTCAATGATAAAGCTCTACCAAAGTTGAAAAATATTATCGAGATATCTCGTGTTCTTCTTCTCTTTCTTTTCATCTTTCTCTCTTTATCTTTATCTTTATATATTTCCTCTTTCTCTCTAATTCTACCTTTTCACCAATGACAAAGAGGGTGCATAAAGTTTCATTTCCACGCGATAAACGTTCACAACGAAATGGATTTAAAATATTCATGATAATAAACGTTTTTAATCGTTCTAAATCCTCTTTCGTTAAATTTTAATATCTTTTCTATTCCATCTTCTTTTTTTTCCTTTTTTTTTTTTTTGTTATCGTTGGCTAATATAAATACGTCAAAATTTATTTCGAATATTTGTATATCAATTTTTAAATATCAAATTATTTGTTTGTAATCTTATCAACGATAAATAAACGTGTATGCGAGATATATATATACATAGAGATATTACAGGATCGAGTAGACAAACCATAGGCAGTTGTGTAAGTGGAAATGTCTCTGCATGAATATAGCAGCAAAAAACGAAAGCTTGATGTTGTCTCTTTCTAACTCATGCGGTACACACATATATATATCACATATATATATAACGCAAGAAAGAACAAAAGACTCGCAAGTTAAAGAGAGACAACATCAACCTCCCATGTTCTATCTCTTTTTATTTCGCCGACAGGTTTTATGTTGGCTAGGGACCCTATAGGAGGGACGCGCCATACACATTGCTAGGCTGAAAATTTGGGAGGGACAGCTTCCGTTACATCGCGCAGCCATGTTTATCTTTAATATGTATTAACAGCTGTGGTTAGTTTAAGTTTGGAATACTTATAGTTTTTATTGTGATATTTATATTTAATTGTTTTGTTTTTTTTTAGTAGTTTTCTATGAGTGTAAGTTTAATTTATTCATTTAATAATTACAAGTATAAATGTACAAACCTAACCTATAACTTATCGTTTGTTTACAGACTAAAATGTTTGAATCATTCGCGCGCAATCATGTGACTACACGAGTTCCTGTCCCCCAGCAATGTGTATGGTGCATCCCTCCTATAGGGTCCCTAATGCTGGCTTGTCTGCTCTATGTGTAATATCTCTATGGATATTTATCGTTTCATTCCTAATGAAATAATATATAGAAAGATCGATTAAATAATTAATTCTTTGTAATATTCATATTTAGAAATACTCGATATCATTCATGCTAATAGCTTCAAATAGTTTGAATATTTTTGGGGAAAATGTAGTTTAGGTATTTTATGAGAGTATCTTAGATTTTCCAAGTCTTCTCGTTTTTCTTAGTTTGACTCATAAACGAGAATGGCATTCTTGTAGAAACTAATATGAGAAATCGAAATAAACTATAGATCGTCGTCGTATTATGCATTTTCACGAAAACACCCTTTCTCTCTTTACTTTCTCTACATAAAACCGTGCATTTCTTGCATGATCATGTAGAGTGCAATTTTATTCTATTATTCTCTTTTCTTTCTTCTAATAGTTCAAACATCTGAACTGTGTGTGTGTGTGTGTGTAATACATTTTTTATTATACGTCGTAAATATATATATAGTAAGTAATTCTTCAAAAATATATTCATAATCTAAATCCAATAATGACTATTTAATTTAATTATTTGAATAATCAAAATATGAACAATTTAAAAAACAAAAATTGTAATAAAATATAGTAAAATATTTCAATTATTTCTGTACTATGTGAAACTACGATAACTGTATGTATGTATTATAACAAAATATTTTCTTACATTTCTTATTTAACCTGTGTTCAATTATATAAAAATTTAAATACACTGAGAGAGAGAGAGAGAGAGAGAGAGAGAGAGAGAGAGAGAGAGAGAACATTTGATCAATTATTTGAGTCACTGTATATCGAATTGTTTGTATGATTTATATAATTAATTCGAAATAAATTTGACTATACAAAATATATTAAAAATTAACAAAATTAACAATTGGAATAATGAATTAAAAAAGAAAAAAAAATAATTATTCCAACGAGTTCATAAAATTTACTTTCAAACTATACGAATCATTTCAAAATAATCTAAACGTAATTTAAAAACTTCATTCACAAACTCGATTTATTTCGAATGTAAAAGTGATCAAAATTCTCGATATTACGAGATGGAGAATAATTTGATTAGAAAAAAAAAAAATCAGACGTAGAGAGAGAGAGAGAGAGAGAAAGAAAGACTGAGAAAAAGAAGAAGAAGAAAGAAAAGAAGCAAAAAAAAAAAACGATGATAAAAATGAACGATATCTATCCTCGGTGGCAATTCGATTCGCAGTAGTAGAGAGAAGCGGTAGAAAAGTTGAAGAGGGGTTGAAAACGAATTCGGTCCCGGAACTTATGCGAGCCGAGAGAAGCTCATCCCGACGATTAATCTCGTTCCAATAATATTTGTCTTCAGGCGAGTTCGCGGACAACTAGGAGAGAGAGAGAGAGAGAGAGAGTCTCCCCTCTTCTACTTTTCCACGGATTCGATGTCTCTTTATCATCCACAGTGTGATTTCGTTTCGACCTTTCCCTTTTCCTATCTCGTCGTAGATTCCCCATTCTCCCTTTATTTTTCGTTTTCCTTTTTATTTCACGATTTCATGGTAAAAAAAAAAGAAATCTGAAGATGGTTAGGAAGAATAATGACGCGTAAGAAACGAAAAAGCCAAATTGTAGTCACGAAAACCGAAATTGGCTGTTCTCGAAGAAGTCAGATTCAGGCAGATCTTCAAAACTCCATTATCATTTTTAATTCGTTTCCATGAAAGATCGTATCTCTTTCTTTCTCTTTCTCCTATTTCTTTTTCTTTCGTATTCTCTCGTGCTCATTCTATCTTTCTTTCTTTCTTTCTTTTTTTTCCTCCTCCTTCTTCCTTCCTTCGTTCCTTCCTTCCTTCCTTTAAGGCCTGTCGATCTTACTTTTTCGCTTAAAATCCGACAGGAATCCACCTAAAAGCAGAATGAGAAATTTCATCGAGAAGAAATCGCAATTACGGAAACGTCGGAATAGACGGACACTATCGTTCCTCGGAATCGATCCTTGACTTATGTTTTAACGATCTATCGAGTGGATTCTATGGGGAAATCCGATCCCTGTTCCATAGCAATTATCAGCACCTATATACCTATCTACTTACCTACCTACACACCTACCTATCTACTACTACTATTTCTC